TAAGGTTTAATAAGGGAACATGTGATTGCTGCTTGATTTCACTAAGGTTTAATAAGGGAACATGTGATTGCTGCTTGATTTCACTAAGGTTTAATAAGGGAACATGTGATTGCTGCTTGATTTCACTATGGGTTTGTAAGGGAAACTATGAATTATGATTTATTTCACGAATACATAAAGGATAATGTAACTGTTGATATATTCTTTACGATTTAAAGGATAATGTGACTTCTAGATTTTACTAAGGCTTATCACGGGAAATGGCAATTTTGATTAATTTCACTAAGACCTTAATAATGGATAATGGGACTACTGATAGACTTCTCTAAGAGGTAATAAAAATAATGTGAATGTTCATTAATTTTAATAATGCTTAATAAGGGATAATATGGCTGCTCATAGATTTCACGAAAGCTTAACAAGGCATAATGTGTGACTGCTGCTTTAAGGCTTAATAAGGGATAGTGTGACTGCTGATATATTTCATTACTGCTTAGTAAAGGAAAATGTGAATAGTGAATGATTTCACTAAGGTTTATTAATTAGAGATCATGTCACTAAAACTTAATAATGGATAATGTGGTTGTTCATAGATTTCGCCCTCCAGTGGCACAGCGGAATGTCTGCGGACTTACAACGCTAGAAGCCGGGTTTCGATACCCGTGGTGGGCAGAGCACAGATAGCCTGTTGTATATCTTTGTGCTTAACTACAAACAAACAAGCTGATAGATTTCACTAAGACTTAATAAGTGATAGTGTGAGTGTTGATTGGTTTTACTAAGCCTTTATAACAAAGAAAAATGTGAATGCTGATTGATTTCAATAAACCTTATTAACGGATAATTTGAATGTTGCTAGATTTCAGTAAGGCTTAATAATGTGACCGTTGCTAGGTTTTACTAAGTCCTAATGTATTATAATGGGAATTACTTTTCTTGTCATTGAAGTAAATACAAAGGTGAAGTTTGTTATTTTTTTCTTTTTTGTATAAATTACCGTTGATGGTAATTTTGTAAGAATAACAATCTTCCAAAGAATCAAAGACAGGTATGTTAAACAAAGGACCAAAAAAATTGGCTCAAAACATCAAACTTATGAAAATCAAAAAACAAGATATCGATTTAGTTTTTGCATATGATGAAAGATTATATGGGGTTAGTGAATTTTTATTTTCTAAAGAAAAATTATTCTAAAAGCACTGAATTATATCACATAATATTTAAACGAATTATTGGTTATTTTCTTTTAAACTCCTTAATTTTGTTTCTGTTTTTACTAGACTACAACTATATATCGCGATATCAAAGAACTACAGAAAATTATTCGACAGTCGTCAAAGGAACGACTACAGCTTGAACGCCATCTATCTAGAGCAACTGAGGTTGGTATATTTTATATTATTATTTTTCGAAATAATATTCTTTATGGATTTTTTTTGAAATGTTTGACGAAAATGATAATTTAATATAAACCAGAATAAAACAATCAAAATTATAAACAACTTAAATTTCACTATGTAAAGTAAATGTTTATTATAACTGTATTAATTTTCTTTTGTAAAATTTACCCTGAAAGTACTGACGTTTCAGTAGTAGTCTACTACTACCACTGTTTGTGCCGTATTATTTTTAAAGTTTGCCAATACTAGAAACATTGAAAAAAATATATGTAAGTAATATCATGTTTCTTGTTTCACAAAACAGGTGTCAGCACAATAAGGCCTTTTTTTTTAGCCCAAAAATTGTGTGACAGTCTTAAATCTCACTTGATAGTATTGCTTCAGGTTATTCCTTGAAACAATAACGTAATCAAGATTTACTTTTATAATATGAGATAAAAATGTTGCTTACGTAAAATGAAGAAATTACCGATTTAACTAAGGTAATGGAGAACTGAAACGTGAAGTTTCAAAATGCACAACTAAGCAACCTTTGTAGGCTGTCGAGCGATGGATTCAGTTGTGTTTCTCCAATAAATTTTTGGTTTGTCTTTTTCTAACTTCAGTGATAATTTTTGATCTCTTTCTTTCGAAACATAAATAATGACAGTTTTCTTCGCTTTCTTTAAACGAAGACATTTGAACTGTGTTTGACCTATTTTAAAAAATTTCAATTGAATAAAGGTAGTTGAAATTAGGAACAGTTACGTTTCCCACAGACAGGTGTGAATATATTTAATTCTGCAGTGAGAACTTTTGTTGATTCATTATCACGGTCAAGCGTGGTGAAGTGGACAGCGTGCCAGATTGTATATTAAGAGGGGTTCACAGTTCACGTTTTGTTATAAAGAAACAAATATCACATTTCGTTGTTTGGTGTCTTGGAGCGTTTTAAGAGTGACGGTCAAATCGCATTTCGATTAGCGTAGCTCAATAATTGGCTGTGGCTACTGTTTACTAGCTTCCCTCCCTCTAGTCTATCATTTTAAAATTAGTATATCTACGAGAGATAATCCTGGAGTAGATTTGCGCAAGTATATGAAATAAACTTTCGTTCCTCAGGAAATACCATTTTCGACATTTTGACCTTTAAACCATTGATAATATGACGCATGTTTACTGTTCTGTTTATACGGTTCCCCGGTGGCTCAACGGTAAAGTTCAGTTATGAGAATTCTGGGTACGATCTTTGTGGTGAGCATAATTCATTATGTTGCTTTTGTTTAACAATAAACAAACTTACACACATGTAAATGAGATTTCTTTGCTTATAAGTGTTTGGTGCATTATTTTTTATTGAATTTATTTTATGTAGAAAGAACATTAGATAAAACGTTGCACATTATCGTGAGAAGTATCCACCGTGTTTGGTCATATTTAGCAAAGAATTGACTTTAAAATTGTTTTATGCTTTGTTTGCTGTAAATACGCCATGGTTTTTAAGTTCAGAAATATAGCG